TGGCCAATTAATAAATCAACAATGCTGTTTTACAGGTGGTATCCATTGATTTAAATCATTGTCAAATAATTCTTCAAATTCTTTTTTGTAATAGGATTAGTGGAGAATTAGAATAATTATGTAGGGTTAAGTTTAGAAAAAACCTGATGAGACAATTTTGAAATGTCAAGTTACATTTTATTCAATTTTAGTGGTAAATTTTGTTGAATATAGTGATTTATAAACATTTATTTGAATGTTATTGCTCTGTGTTCTATTGATACCGGGCTAACCATAAGAGTACAGACATTGCTGCCTGAGCAACAATGGAAAGAAGTCAGAATCTTCTCTGTGTTATTCCTGGTATAAAGCTTAGATTTACTAAAAACTAAACTAAAAGTTTAGTCAAAACAAATTCAGCAGACTAAAATTAAGTCTGTCATCCCAACATTGTATTTAAATGCATCAAAAGCACAGTAGTATAACACTTTGGTAGCTGACTAATGGACTAATAGGCAGGCTCTAGCAGCAACTCTGTCATCTTTGACAACACCAGCAAAGTCACATATTTCATCTTTAACTTGGGCTAATTGTAAATTGCCTTCAAATCAGTGAGCCAGTACCTAGACCAACAGTTGTTAAAATGTTTACATCTCTGGCACTGTTGTTAATAATGCAGATTGGTTGCTGCTGTGACCTATGAATAAATGAAAATACACTTCTGAAAAAACATAAAAACATGTTGTTACTGGTGCAGCATCTCCCTCTCGCCCCGTGTCATCAGCTCATACTGATTTCAGTTAGCTAGCGTGTGCATGTGTGTGCGCCTGCACGTACGCAAGCTTGGCTTGTCTCTGTTTACATGAATGGGTAATGTTTGCGTTGCCTGGCAGTGGAAAAGGCTGAATGCCAAATAGAGATGGTTATCTCACTAATTTAATGGCACTGAATAATAGTGTAGGTCCAATTCCATCAATGACGAAGGTGACTCACTTACTCACAGTGCGAGTTCTGTGACGGTCTGCACTCAGACAGAGGTTAAATGAAAATAAAGTTTCATAAAGTCTTGTTCACCAGTCAGGTCAGAAGTTCCTTTTCAGCTCAGTGAGTACAGAGACACACCACCAGGGTTAGTGGTTGGTTAACATGAACACACTGATAGTGCTGTAAGGGCTTTGGATTTAAGTGCCAACCTAGTGACACATGCTGTACCCTTATGAACTTCACAATAATGCAGTTACAGAGGTGCAAACCTTTCTCTGATCATTTTTCCTTCCCTAGAAAGTGTTAACAAGTGGCCAATATGGTAAGACTAGAGCAATTAAAATACTCAGTGAAGTGAGAAGCAGGGCAGATGGTCAGGCGAAATGTGGAACAGTCCAGCTTGATGCACAACTGGTAAGACAGGTTTTCTTTGCTAAGGACTGAGGCACAGTGTGCCTTCCATCACAACTCTAAAATATATTTATCTACAGTGATAAAATGGCTCAATTTATCTTGTTGGTTAAATTTTGCTTTCCCTCTCGCTATTCTGAGCCCTCATTTGATCAAAACCAACTGACAGCCAATAAATGCCGGTGGTGAACTGTGATGTCTAACGAGAGCAAAGAGTGACACATATATCTTGGAATACACATATGATACATTTAAAACCCAGAGAAACGTTGAGCAAGTTCATGCAGGAAAGATTGGTTAAGAATGTGTAACTAGTCAGCTTTTATCCTTTGGAAAGCAGCTAATTGGGACATACAGATAATGATTGAAACAAACAAAACAGACAGCAGGGAGGGGTGTCCTATTGTTTCCCCTGAGATTTTTTTCCAGCAGAGGTACTGAAGTGCGTCATGTATATATGTATATGTATGTATGTGTGTGTGTATGTATGTATGTATATGTATATATATATATATATATATATGTGTGTATATGTATGTATGTATGTATATATATATAAATAGGTAGGACTCTCATACTTTGACACTCGTCTTTGCAAAGGGAGAAAATGAAAGAATAATGTCGTTACCCTGCCTGTCAGCTGCTCCGGTTCACTGCAATTACCATAAAGGCTTGAATATGTTTTCACTCCAAATTTAGTTGCGGCTAGCTGACAGTGGAAACACCAGAAAAGCTGTTCAAATCCTTAACGCTACCGTAGTGACATCAAAAGAAAAGTGGTTGTCTCGATTCGGATGCCAAAGTGTGTGAGTGAGAGCTTATAGAGGCGGGGAGCAGCGGAGCAAAACACCACTTTAGTGGTCTTGCTGTTGTTAGTAAAAAAAGTATAAAAATATTTTCGCTTCATTTTGAAACTATGGCGGAACTAATTAGACTGTGGCGGGCCGCCATGTTTCCGACACCACATGAATGCACCATCCCTCACCGCTCACTCTAAGGGCGCAGGAGAAGCTACAGTGGCTGACACGCTCCGTCAGCTCTTGTGCTAAATAATACGGGTGGGATTTCATTTGACCAATTTTCACTTCACTTCTCTTGCTTGTTCTTCGTACGTATTCAACATATGGACAAAACGCGCTCTGTAGAGACGTTTGTCCATTTGGGCTACTGTGGAAACATGGCGCCGCAACATGGTGACGTCCATGTTAGAGGACCCGCGGTGTTTGTAGATAGAAATGGCTCAATCTAAAGTAATGAAAACTAGAGCCCCAGCAATTTATCGGGTGGCCGATATTATCGGCAGATATGAGCTAATTGCATTCAATCGGCATCGGCCGTTTATAACAGCAGATAAAAAAGAAACATAGATTCAGATACTTCACTAATGTCATGGGTGTTGCCCACCAGAGGGCGCACTGCAGCTGTTAACTACACTGCCTCATCACAAAAACCACAGAAGAAAACAATCGGCTGACCGCAGTCTACCGGTGCCAGCCTCCAGCATGTAGAAACACGCAGAGGGCTGTGTTAGCGGTGAGTCAGTCTTTTGTCACATTAATTACATGACTTAAATAATTATAATAAAAACAGCCGCAATCACTTTAATGACTTGCTAACCCTCCCGTTTGTCACTCTCCCTGCTTCCTCCCAGCTCACAGCAGTTTAATGTTACGGTAGTGTTTAAAGCTACGCTGCTAACGTGGTTGTACATTTATTTTTGAAACAGCGAACGGTACAAATTTGTCCCTAGTTCATCACTTATAAATATTCTCTAAAATCACATAACGTTACAGCAGCTAACACTGCCCGTTGCTAAATTGGCCACAAAGCTAATGCCGTGTTTATCAGTGGAGGAGTGCTAACGTTGATGAGCCGCTAAACTATTTTCTTCTCACTGTAACTCAAAATACATGCCTTTTAATAACAGAGTGTTCTACTGGATTAAAAAAGGTGGGGGGAGGACAAAAACAGGATTTTGAAAAGTGGACGCCCCTAGTGGATGTTACGCCGTTGAGTTAGCTAATCACACACTTTTACATAAAGACAAACGTGGCCATGTGTGGGGTTAGATTTATAATCCTCCCCCATCCCAACTTGGCAGGTTAAATCAGCAGCACTGATCATTTAGCAGCAGCGCTGTTGAATGCATATAGAGGAAACACTGATGATTACAATGCACACTACTATGTGAGGCATCAATGTCATGATGCAGTAGTAACAATTTGTGGTGATGGAGGCAAGCAATTCTGCCAACAATAACAACCACTGTCATTTTATTAAAGCATTTTTAGCCTGTGCACCAGTGGTCCTGAATTTTGTCTCCCGGGTCCAGACTGCTGCTTACTTTTAATTCTGCCAGGCAGTTTTCATTCTAGACACCTAATCAGAGACTTATTTGGACTGGGATGCCAGGTGAATTTAAACTAGCAGGGAAAAAAGAAAACCAGCAACACTCTGGACCCCAAGGACTGGATGAAGATAACTGCTGTAGACTGTTTCACATACATTGATTTTGTCCTAGGACTAAATGGCTCTCCGAGCTGAAGGAAACAACTTCACTAGCATCTAAAAAACTTGCCCGTCAATCCTGTGGGAGTAAGGGCCTTTACCTGATGTACATGACTTCAAATGCTAGGGGCATTTCAAACACACTGTGATGATCGTACACAGTCCTACAGTCTAAACCAAGTCTAAATCCCCAATTTTTTCGGTTTTCTGTAAAAAATATTTTGTCTCCAAGCCCAAGCCAAGACAACCTCAATGACATCATCAGGGTTATTTTCCATACTTTAGATAAGCTCCCTCCAGAGCCAAAGAAGACACTATGCAACAGCTTTCGCAGGCTGAGAGGTACTCTGATACTGATCTTGGAGTGCCCGCTTTATTACAGAGAGCTGAGAGGAAATAAGGTGAGAGAGATGGGGAATGACATACAACCAAGTTCCCCAGCCATAAACCAAATGTTGAGGTTCACTGTCAGCGCCAAAGGATGTGAGGGTGCCCCAAGATTGGGGTTTGTAATACATGCCACTGACACTGATTCTGAGCATTAAGTTTTACTACTTATAGAAGTCTTCTATGTAGGTCAATTCATGCAGACCCCAGGACGAGCTATAACTTTACAGAGGCCTCCTACAATATCCTGTGGAGGTCTACTTTGAGTTAAAAGTTAATCTCCATCTAGAAAGAATAACTAAGTGATAATGGTGTTTAGAACATTTTATTTTGCTTACGGTTAGTCCAGCAGATATCAAGAACCAAAATATTTCATACACAAACAGGCTTTTCAGTAAGCTGCAGACTGAAAATCCTCCTTTTAACTGCAAATTACGTCTTCACACTGTTTAATGCAATAATTCACAACAGATTATATGACACCAGATTGCAGACTACAGTATGTGCAGCCACACGTGCGATATGGTGCTTAATCATAGATGGCACATCAAACAGTTTGTTACCAGTGTAGAGTGTCTGTATCGTCACCATCAGCAGCAGCAGCTCCACCACTTATGTCGCACTGTGGCTTTTGGCCTCTGCTGCAGAGCAGCACGTCTCATTCTTAGCGCCGTTACCGACAAAGCAAGTGACAACAACAATGACACTAAACAACGACAACACGCCCTCACCGGGAGAGTAGAGCCTCGCTAGCTGTCGGGCCCCGGCGTGCTGCGGTCCCCAGCGAGGCTCCGCGCTGCGTGCAGCCGCCCCGTGCTCATTCCCGTTCGGATCCTCCTCCGCCATGGACCGGTGCCTGATGTCGGTCTCAGAGAGAAGCGAAGCCGCCATAACTCCTGCCCGCTGCCCCCCGCTCTGGCTTTCAGCTATTAGACATCAATTAGAAATCTGTCTCGGTCACTGTGTCCCGGCCTCGCGGTAGCTGTTGTTGTGGCTGGATGGAGGAGGGAGGATGAACCAAGTGATGATGCTAGCTGGGATGGAGCAGCCTCATGCCACCCGGAAATACACCGACGCTGACACACAGACCTACTTGGTTTTAAGCGATGCAGACTCCCTGTCGTGACCCCGCTGTTAGTTTGTGACTGACAAAGACTACTTGCAGACGTGTTCACATTACAGACTGTGAGGCTTTTTCGTACCCTTAGCTGTTGCCGTTCAACAAACTTTACTACCGCGTCCAGTTCAACTGTCACGTCAGCTGAAGGGACCGTCAGCATTTTACACTTCTGATAAAAAGTGGAAGTGGTACCAAATAATCAGTCTTCTTGTGTTTGCAAGTGAGAGTAACTCAATTTAATTTCTAGAACATATTTAACTGTATTATTATTTGAACCTAAAGACCATGTGCTTGAAGGGTAAGCCATGTTTTGCTGTATTCTCTGCAGAAAACCTCGGAACCAGTGGTTATGGAGCTGTTAATACACAAGACATACCATATGTGAGCATGCAGAGGAAAGGTTACACTGTACTGCGAGTGTAACCTCGTAGCAACAGCCTTCTGGCAGGGACGCTCTCAGCTGCTGCAAATACTCAGCTGGCCAGACTCGCAGATACTGCAGAAACAGAAGGTTGCACACTGCAAAAATGTACATCTCAGTGAGCCATAAAAACCACGACCAGTGGAGCTGGCATTAAGTAGGCTACTAAGAGTTTATCTTAGTTTTAGTCTTCTAATTAATTATCAGTCAACACATAACCATGATGACAATCCTTCACAATCTTTCCTATTCCCATTTCCCTGTTTGCAACTTAAAGTGTAGGTTCACACTTTTCCCAGTATTTGTCCATATGAAACAGCTTTTCCTTGCAGTAATCATACCACCTATTCATACTGCCAGATAATAGATCCCTTCCTTATGGGGGAAGTGGGTTGGTCACTTAAGCGATATTTTTAGCCATGCCGATACAAATCCTAATGGCTTCAGTGACTCCCTGACCTTTCTTCTAGCACCAGCAACCAGTCAGACTTTTCACTTCTCCTTTGAAATATCTCAACATCTACGGCATGGATCGGCACAACATGTTGTACTATAAATAATGACACCCTGAGGATGAATTTTAATTGGTGATCTCCCGGCTTTTTCTCTGGCACCTCCAGCATGTCAAACATTTCACTTATCCTGACAAATATCCTGGATTTACACAATATTTGGACATTCATGGTTCCCAGACAATGGATCGTACTGATTTTGGTGATCCTGACCTTTCCTCTAGCACCACCAAGAGAACAACATATGTGGCTTTAAGGTGAAATGTCTCATGGATTGCCATAAAACTTGGGACACATTCATGTCCCCATCAGAATGGATTGGTGATCCCATATTTTTTATTTACCACCACAAAATTCCAATTTGTCCAATTGTTTGGTTTCTGAAAAAAAATATGAACAATCCCATCAGCCTCAGCTGTACAGTGTGTAATGTCATTAGCAAATGTTAGAATGCTAACACACTAATCTAAGAACAAGTGAACATGGGAAACACCTGCTAAACATTTACATGCTAGCATTATCATTGTGAGAATGTTAGCATTTAGCTCAAAGTCTCATTGCTCATTCATACCAGATGTGAACATCTGTTTGATCCACTAAACCTTACATTCATCAGGCCACAGGCATGTTCAATGGGATGTTTCCGATGCTCTGTGTCTGCTGGATGTGTAAGTATGTAGTTGCTTGTTAATGCGTTAGCTGTAACAATTTGCAGAGATGATGATACATCAAGGCTGTGTTTCGGAGAATTATGGAAATCTTACTTCCATATTTGGGCAATTTTATGGAATTTCAATTTCAACAACTGCGAACAAGAAACTACCGTTTACACTCCTGGAACTGATATCTGATATGCATTGCTAAGGTCCACACCAAACTAGGGGGAAAAAAACTATTTAACATGTTTGCTAAGTTGTGATTATTTTAAATTATTTGATCTCATCATCAGGGTTATCTATTTCATCCTTTACTTAATTCATTTAATTTTTAAAACATTAAAATATTGTATACATTTTTTTATATTCTTCAGTAGGCCTAATGGTGCACTGACTGCTGTTGTTTGTCAATTTTGAATTTTTTCCTGTAATCTCAGTACTGTTTATCCACTTCATATTCTTTTTTAAAATTATATTTATAAGTCTGAAATATATGTTTTTGTGCTGCTGTTATCTTGGCTAGAACAGGCCTGTGAAAGAGATTTTTAAGCTAAGCAAGGCACTTGGTTAGACTGAATTGTTATATACACTATTATAGAAATCTGTTATTATTGACATTATTATTTTCCATTTGTTTTCAGTTACTTACAGCATTGATTGTTGGCTTATGCGACATAAGATGAACGTCTTACTGACATGAGTGAAACTGAGAACACACTCCACTAAAAATCACAATCATCAGCAGATACATTCTGAGATGATTGTGGCAAAGTGTGATCATTTACCTTGTGATAGGAGTCCCTGGGTATAATGACTGGCTAGCAGCACAGTCCCAGGGCTCATGACACATAGTCTGTGGAGATGAAAGAATTTTGCTTAACAATTGTTAGAATCAGGACTGTGCAATGCCACCTGGATTCTTCACACAGCAGCAAGTGAATTGGTCAACATTAAATTTCATTTTCTGTCACCTCCACAGTAATTGTGCATCAAAGCTTACACTTGGGCATGGGTGTATCTTTGTATAGGAAGGCATGAGACATCTGAAATTGACCCGATACTGTGATCTAAAGAGGGATGTCTCTCAGTTTTCCTGACTCCAGTGCACTCTTTGGTGAGTTATCTCATGTTACCGGTGTGTGTTGGTCCTACTTGCTGGGGTAGTATTGCTTACAGGTATTTAATAATGTAGATGTACATAAGGCTTTACACTGCAGTGACATAAACACTGGACGGAGTGGTCATGAAGACTTCCACTGTGCTGTAATGTGCAATGTTTTTTTTTCTTTGCAGATTTTGAATGTTGCTTTAGAGGTCTGAAGACAGATTTCACAATGATATCCCATTAGTCATCTTGTGAGCCCATAGAGGGGTCTTAACGCCCATGTTAGGAACCACATATAGCTAGAATTTCTTCTGATGTTCTTAATACATTATGTAAAACACTTTGAACTGCCTTTGTGCATAAAATGTGCTATATAAAAGCCTTGCTCTTTAAAATCTTAATTGAACTTACGGGTGTTCATCCTTGATTGTGACCATCACTTCACCCTCATTAGAATTTCCATCTGACTTGGAAAATAAATAAATAAATATTAGAGATATTGGTGACTGATGCCACTTCAGTGGATATGCATGCAAGCTCATAGACTCATTTCTTATGAATAAATGCACACCACACAGAAATTCTTTATTTGTCATTTATTTATTTGTTTTATCTTTTTTTTCTGTACTAGATTATTGCAATCTGGTTAATTCACATTTAAAAAGCAGTCATTGACCAGACGCACTAAAATCGATGATATTCATTTTTACAATAACCATTATAGGCCCCATAGAGACTGGAAAACCCAATCCAAAAAAAGAAACATCTGTATGGTTTTCTGCACTTTTGTTTGATGTCTTTTTTTCATAGTAATTACAAAAAGGAAAAATATATATAACAATGATCATAAAAAGGAGAGTTGGGGGGAAAAAACTCAGGAATATTACAACTGGCAAACAAACAATCACAACACAGCACAATTACCTACTTACGGCGAGAAATGAAAGGTACAAAAATGAAAACAAAGAAAATAAGCACATATGGCAGAAAAAAAAATCAAAGAAATTGGCACCTATGAAGTTAAATACAATAAGCAACTGAGGGGAAGTGAAAGTGAAGCTTTTTTCTACAATCTATTAATAAAATCCCAAAACAAAAGGTCGTTTTCTTGCTTTTTTTTCCTTTTCTATTTGTTAAAAAAAATAAAATGCCTGACCTGGGGAGTGACGGGTGGGAGGAGAGGAAAACAGAAGGGGATGGGGAAGTAGCTGGTGTGGGGGTTTGCAGGGACAATAAAAAATACTGCACATACAATACCTTTTTTCACTTCTCTCTTTCTTTCATCTAGCTCTTACCGTTTCTCTCACCCACTTTTTCCTTTCTTTATTTAATAGCATATCCCATTAATATTCCTTTCCCCCGCTGATCCTAATAGCCGCGCCCAGTGGCGCGATCGTTAGAGTTTTACATGTGAGTAGCAAATGACACTTTGATTGGCTGTGATGTGGAGATGGGAGTCCCCTGCCGGCTCCGGGTCGGGGGCCCCGGCTGAGCCGAGAGATCCTGCCGGGCCCCGGTCTCACTGCGCGTGCTGACTCAGTGTGTGGTTCTGGAGGGAGATAGGGAGAGGGAGAGATAGAGAGAAAAAGTGAGAACCCATGATGAGAGAAATAATGGGCTACGTGAGCATAGTGCTTTCCACTTGCACCCCCACCCAATAAAAGAACAGAAGAGAACAGAAACACAACTGCCTCCCACAGCACAGACAGCAAGGCCTCCTCGCTTTATACATAGTCTGATGAAGGAAGAGAAAGAGGAGGAATAGAAAGGAAGAAAAGAAGCAGACAAAACAAGACCAGCAGACAAGACAGCTCTACAACATAAATTAGTAGGTACAGTACTGCTCACACAAAACATTCTGAGAAACAGGAAAACATATTTGACACACAACATTGTCAACATGGGTTTCTGTGAGAAAAAACAGATGATGACAGACATATGTACTTGTTTTTTTGCACATTCTGACAAACCACCCAAAACCCTAGTCATCCAATGAAAGCAGAACCAAGATTTGGTCAGAACCAAATAATTACAGATCAAACAGTATTTGTTCTGTATTATTTTTTGTCTGTGGGAGCCTAGCACCATGATTTGTTTATTCAGATCTGTGAAACCCCCGTGCCTTTTGATATTGCGATTAATATTTTACAGAAACCGTCTCCATACCTCAGAGACGCCTACACACACACATCCCTCCAAAGGCATCAGCACGCTACACATCAATACATAATCACAATGCAAAAACACCTTTTTTCAAAATTAAAATTCACAACAGCACTGAGAGCACAAAGGCAGACCAATGCAGAGATCTCTAGGTAAAAGCTAGAGTGGAGGAACCGAGATTCAGACACGGTGTGCATACATGAGGTAGGCATGTCTACAGTATACTGCGCACGCACATGCAACTAATCATATGTTAAACTTTCTTACTGAAAGATAA